TTTTTTTTTTGGAGACAGGGTCTCATTATATGGCCCAAACTGGCCTTGAACTCTCAGTGACCCCTGCCTCAGCCTCCTGACTGCTGGGATTACAGATGCTCCCCACCACACCCAAGCCAAACAGCCCCACTGTATCAATACACCACAGGCAGGGGGCCAGCGATATAGCTCAGTAGTTTAAGAACCTGCCTGGCAAACGCAAGGTCCCAAGTTCAATCCCTGGCAAAAAAAAAAAAAAAACCACAACACAACACAACACAAAACACAGCACACGCACGTAGCAAGCGACTGCCGAGTGCACCTCTAACGCAGACCACAGAGGCACACACATCTCTAAGCCAGCAGGACAGGAAAGACACATCCTCCAGCCGCTAGTTCTGCCTGCAGACGGAGTGCAGTACGGCCAAGGCCCTGTGTTGCACCTCCAGCATTAAAAAAATCCCTCATCCAACTTTATTCCACCACATGTACATAGACATTTATAAAACCTGAGGCCCAAGACGTGAGAAGTCTCTCCATCACCAAGATAGCCAGTGGTCACCGTGACAGCCAGCATGGGCATCTGCAGGCCCTACCATCGCCGGGCAGGGCCACGGAGACCCAGTCTTCTTGCTCGGGTGGAAGCCAGGCTGCAAGCACCAAGACCCCCAGCAGGGCTAGAAGTGGGGGCGACAGAGCCTGGGGTTCCTGTGCTATGCCGGACACTGCCCTCTGTAGGCTGCGGCATCCGGCCCTGGTCAGATACTGCAGTGGAGCAACCAGCGCCCTGTCCATTGTCCCTCTAGTGAGTGCTACATCTCTTAGCTGAGGTTTACTTTCTGTTTCAGTGCTGAGGACTGAACCCAGGGCTCCCAGCTTGCTAGGCGAGCATTCTATCACTGAGCTAAATCCCCGCCCCAAGGGCTACATTTCTGCAAGGGGCAGCCCTGGAGGCCAGCAGTGGAGCTCAGGGCTTTGTAGGGTGCCATGTGTCCTAAGGACTTGTACTCCTGGGACAGATAGGAAGTGGCCTCAGACTGGGAAACCTGGATCACAGTCCTAAGGCTGGCAGTGGGTAGAACTAGCAATGTGACTCTGGGTGGCTTCAACTCCAAACCCAGGCTTTCATTACCTCAGACTTTTTTTATTTTGTGGCACCAAGGATTGAACTCAGGACTCTGAGCTTCCCAGGCAGGCGCTTATTCTACTGAGCTATCTCCCCAGCCCCACCTCAGACTTTTTGTTCACAACCAAACAAATAGTATATCTTTTTTTTTTTTTTTTTTTTTTAGATTGACTCTTGCTATGTAGCCTAGGCTGACTTCATGTTGTTTAGGGTGGTCTTGAACTCACTAAGTCTCCCAGGCTGGCCTCAAACTCAAGGCGGTCCTCCTGCCTTGGCTTGCTGAATGCTACCAGCCTCAACTACATGGCAAACAAGACCCTGTTTCAAAAAAAGAAAGGCAAACAACATCTAAGACAAACCACACTTGTAGTGCGCCTACAGTGAAGTTGTAGGAGTCTATAAAACACGAAGGGGCTACCTGGACCCGTGGCACCGTCAGTCCAGCCCTCTGGAGGCTAACGCACAAGGGTCACTGCTAGTTCCAAGCCACACCAAGCTACAAAGCAAGTTCGCGGAAAGCCTGAACCACATTGTGAGACTCCATCTCAAAAACTAAAAAAGAAACAAAAACAAAAAATATACAAAAATAAACCCAAAAGCCAAAAGTTCCACAAGATTGGGCGAGGTGGTGCACGCCTGTAATTCCAGCGCTGAAAACAGGAGTATCGCTGAGTCCAAGTTGTGTAGTGAGAACCTGTACCAAATACAATCAATCGATCAATCAGTCAATAGCTCAGGATGTAGCTGAGTGTGAAAACCTGGGTTCAATCCCTAGTACTGGCGGAAAAAGGAAGAGGGGAAGGTGTCAAGTCGGTCTCCACGGCACCTGCGGGCTCCTGCCCCAGATGTCGGCACCGAACCTTGACGCTGTCAGACTTCCTGCCCCAACCAGATCTCCAGGAACGAGTGCCCACCTACCAGCCAGCTGTTTCCTCTCAGTAGCTTTTGAATATGTTCATTTTCCTATTGGAATGGGGGGGGGGTAACTGGGGATTGAACCCAGGGCCTCTGCACCCCCAACTCTTGTTATTTTGAAACAGGGTCTTGCAAAATCATTAAACTGCTGAGGCTAGGCTGAAACTCAGGATCCTCCTGCCTCAGCCTCCCAGAGTGCTGGGATTACAGGTGTGCACCATCACATTCAGCTGCTACTG